CGGGTGGGGGAGTCCTGCCAACTCCATCTTCTCCCTCATGATCCCCCGGGTTCCCTCTCAGGATCAGGTCAGCTCCGGCTGGGCTGAGCCTCTGTCCCCCCACCAGACTGGGGACAGGCAGTGAGGAGGGAGGAAGGGGCAGGAAGATCAAAAGAGGCAGACCCACCACCTACTAGAGTCCCGGGGACAGGAGGGCCTGGATGGACAGGAACCAGTAGTCCAAGAGGGCGCTGCGGTCGGCGGCCAGTATGTGAAGCCGCCTGCTTTTGGGGATTGCGTGTGGGCCTGGTGTGGTGGCCGGGATGGGGGTGGGAGGGCAGTGGGCTGATCCAGGGACAGGAAGGACAGTCTTCACCCCCAAGCTTCCTGCACTCTATTTAAAGACTCGGTTTTAGTCTGCAATGGTGGACTTCCCACATTTTTGGTATTAAAATGTCTTTCTGTGACACAATACTTGTCTTTTAACTTCCTTTTCTGATAAAAAGTTGGCATCCCTATCAGAGCCTGGTAACTTTAGGGTCCTTTTGGTGGGGTGTTGGGTGGGCCTTGCTGTGGATGGGTTCAGGGCTAAAGGGGTGAAGGTGTGGCCTGGCTGGTTGGGGGTAGGGGGGTAGCAGAAAGAACTAGTGAGTTGACCCTCTCCAGTGGCTTCATCTGAGCGGGGCGTTCCTGAGCATCGGGGGCAGGTCCCAGGCCCGGGTTGGGTGGGGTGGGCAGGAGTGAGTGGGCTATCTGCCGGGAACAGAACGTCTGGGTGGAGGGCAGGTGCCCAAGGAAGGGGGGGGTCCCAGTGTGGGAGTACAGGTTAGGGCTGGGGAATGGCCCCCAGTCCTCCCTGGGTCCCCAGCTGCTGCTCAGCACAGCGGGGCTTGTGACTGCAGACTGTCCTGAGGGGAGCAGGACACACAGGAGAGCTGGCCCCATAGGGATCCCCAACTCAGCTCAAGTTGTGGTGGGAGTGGCCAGGGGCATCAGGACTAGGGCTGATGGGGGCTGGAGCGGCCAGAAGTGGGGCAAGCTCTAGTCCAGAGCTGGATGCCCCAGGGAGAGGCTCGGTCTCACCACCCACCTCCAAGCACTTCAGCAGGGGTTGACGGGTCCTGGGTGTGGGTGGAGGGAGGTGGAAGGGAGGCGGGGGAAGGAGGGCGCTGGAGGCCAAGGACGGGTTGCTAGGGGACTCAGGGCAGGCGTCCTCTTCCCCTTGGAGGTTGGGGGACAAGGCCCAGCAGCCCCCAACCGCCCAAAGGGTAGGGGTGTGGCTGGCATGTTCCCCAGTCGGAGGGTCGGGGTGCCGGGGACCTCGGTCTTACAGGCGTTCTCCCCTAGAGCCCAGACTTGGGCTCCTCTGGCGCGAACCTGGACGCGAACCGGGCCGAACTTCCCCGGCGACGCGGTGCACTCGCCCAGTGCGGCCGCCAGGCGCCGGGGACGCGGGGCGGGGGGGCGCGCGGGGGGCGCTCCGCCAGGCGGGCCCCCCTTCTCTCCCTCCCCACCCCCGCTCTCCCCTCTCCCGCTCCCTCTCCCTCCTCCTCCCCGTCTCCCTCCCCCTCTCCCCCGCCGGGGGCGGGGCCGCTGCTCCCGCGCGCTCCGGCCCCTCCGCGGCCACACAAAGGCCCGTCTCCATGGCAGCCGCGCTGGCCTCAGCGCAGCGCCGATCGCGGCACGGGCGCCATCGAGCCTCGGCGGCAGAAGAGCAGGTACGGGAATGGGGTACGGGGCCCGCGGGGCGGCCGCGCCAGTGGGGGGCTTCGCCGTCAGCGCCGCTCCGCCCTGGCCTGCGGCGCTCGGGACGCGGGGACTCGGGCGGCTGCCGCCCGGCGGAGGGAGACTCGGGCTTCGGCCGCCGTCCGTGCGTCCGGCCGGCCGGGGCCGGGCCGCTCCCGCCTCGCGCTCTTCCAGGTGGCGGGCGAGGCCCGCGGCGCCGAGGGCAGCGGGCCTGGCCCAGCAGAGAGCCCCCAGCCGGGCGCCGCGCCCTCTCCCGCCGCCCGCGTCCCTCCGGAGCCGCTCGGACCGCTTCTCGTTCCCGATCCTCCCTCCCTACTCATGCCCGCTGCCCCTCCAGGCACCGAGATCCGTGCCCAGGGCGGGGATCGGCCCTGTTGTACAAGAGCTCCAGGCCCGCGCCCACCCAGCCTTGGTTCCTGGGGTGGCCGAGCCCCGGCTTTCCCCAGGGAGCTGGGCTCGCCGTCAGGCCTTGGCAGCCCCCAAACCCCTTGGGGACTTGTGAGGCGGGCATAAGCCAGGACCACCCTGGGAGCGCCTGGTCTGCACCTGGCCAGGCTGGAAGGCGGGTGCAGGGTTCCCGGTTGGGACTAAGGGTGGCTTGGCACCAGCACCTGGCAAGTCCTGGTGGCCCTGGGCCTGCTTCACCACAGAGCCAGCACCCACATTTCCCAGTGTTTGTTGGTGTGGTGTTTGGGTGGACACTCTGGGACCCAGGAAGTGAGTACAGGAAGTCTCTACTCACTGCCGGGACCCTGCCCCTCTATGTGCAGCCTCCTGCAGGAAGCCCTCCTAGATGGGCCCTTCCCACCCATCTGTGTTCAGGTTGCTTGGCAGATATGAGGGGGGTCCCTGAGCCCAAGAGCCTCAGAGCTCCCTGCCACTTCATTGGCCTCCTCTTCCCAGCAACTTGGAAAAGAAAGGAAGAGGTCTATCCGTGCCCTGGGCCTGTGGTGGGCGTCAAGACTAAGGGTGAAGCTTGACCCCCCCCCCCAAAGCCAGTGGAATGTTCTGGAGCTCGGAGGGCTCTCCGTGCCTGCCCTGGGGAGCCCCTGTCATGTCTAACTGCAGCCCCTGTGTGCCCCACACACACCCGGGCCGGGCGCCGTGGAGATGGGAGAGCACGGCCCCCAGGGGTGGGAGCTCTCAGCCTGACCCCGTTCGGGATGTTCCCCGGGCCCAGAGGGGAGAGTCTGAGAGCTGGAC